TCATAAGGAGTCTTTGGAACTGCCTTACTAGGAACTCTATTAAGCAAATACGCAACGGTCTTTAATGCGTACATCCACAAAGACATAGGTACAGAACTGTAACTCAACATACTCCTAACCATTTCCATGATAGTATGATTTCGCCTTTCAGCCACACCATTTTATTGTGGTGTACCAGGCATAGTATACTGTGCACATATACCTCGACCTTCCAGAAGTTTTGCAAATGGACCTAGACATTGTCCACTTTCATCAAATTTTTCATAATATTCACCACCTCTATCTGACCTCACAACCTTTACCTTTCTATCTAGTTTCCTTTTCACCTCATCAATGAACGCCTGTAAGACATCCACTGATTGAGATTTTTCATGCAACACATACAGATAACAATAACGTGAGTAGTCATCAATAAAAGTAATGAAATATCTTTCACCACACCAAGATGTCAAACGGACCACAAATATTAGTGTGTATCAACTCTAAGAGTTGACTGCTTCTTGTGGCTGGATTCTTTGATGTATGTTTAGTTTGTTTTCCTTTAATACAATCCACACATACATCCTAGTCAACAAAATCCAATTTACGTAAAATTTTACTTTTCATTAATCTCATCATCCTTTCTTTGGATATGTGACCTAACCTTTGATCCCACAAGAAAGTAGAGCATTCATTACGAACATTCAAATTACTACTAATAGCATTCTCAACATGAAACAGAGATTCAGAAAATTTAACATTAAGATTGAAACGATATAAATCATCAATTAATGTAGCAGATCCAAAATAATACGAGTGTTTATATAAAGAAAAGGTATCGTTTCCAATCTTAAAATTAAAACCAAATTCGTCTAACTTTACAACAGAAACCAAATTTTTAACACATTCAGGAACATAAAACACTTTTCTAGATCTATGCAGTAACCAGTATGCAAGATCAATCTGTAAGTCCCTATTCCTTCTATCCGTGCCTTCATTCTGTTTCCCATGTACAAGAACTTTTCAGTTCCGCTTATGGGCTGGATCGAAAGAAATCCCTGCATTACATGTGACACATGAGTAGTTGCACTAGAATCTAACCACCAGGTATTTTTAGGTACCTCAATAAGATTTGATTCAAAGCATACTGAAACATAATATATACCTTTCCTTTCGAACCAAACATTTCTCTTCGGACAATTCTTTTTGAAGTGACTAGTCTTCTTGTAGAAGAAGCACCGCTGACCCTTCTGGATTCGGCCTTCACGAACCTATAATAAGGCCTTATCCTTCTTGTTCTTGTTGTCCTCCTTACCTGGCTTAGCCTTGCTACTACTAGCCCCTTCATGAAATGTGAGATGGACAGAGTGTTCTTTCACCTTCTTCAGCCTCCCTTCCTCCTGAACCAGTATGGCCTTAATTTCTTGTATGTTCCATTTATCCTTAATGATGTTGTAATTCACCTGGGACTGACCAAACTCACGAGGGAGTGAGTTCAAAATGAAGTGTACTAGAAATAATTCCTTTACCTCCATGTCCATTGATTTCAACTTTGCTGCTTGATTGATCATGTCAATCACATGGTCATGAATGAGCCGTGACCAATCAAACTTCATACTAGTCAGCTCAATCAACAGAGTGCCTGTAATGGACTTGTCAGTAATGTCCGATTGTGCATACTCTTTTACCTTTGCCATAAATTCCTTAGCATTTTCAGTCTTTGGTATTAATGGCTTCACATTTTCAGCAAGCTCAAGCTCAGCCTATTCGACCTTTCTCAAGCCTCACGAAAAGTTCTTTCCTCTTCAGTACTGGTCTCTGTGATAGCTGTAGGCTCTTATTCCATAATGATTGCTAGGTCTAAGTCCATAACACCTAGCTGAAATTGAACTTGTTTAGCCCAATCATCATAATTAAGCCCATTGAACTTGACTACGTCATTGCTCATGCCATACATATTCATAGAGACTGAAATATTTAACACATGCTTAAACATTTATGCCTTGAATAAACTTAATGGATTTGGACAGTCAATTGTCATCAATTATGCATCTAAGTTTACCTTTGGGTAACGCCTAAATGCACAATTTATCTATAATGATGCTAAGAAACAACTTTAATTGACAACCAGTCACTCAAACCAATATGCAAGTCATCTTTGGATATACAAACATATTATGAAGTGCTTACATGTCTCCTTAATGTCATTAATCATATGCAATGATCCACCTTTGGGCGATCTCTTAGCGTTATAATTAATGAGCTAAATTGTTCACCCTTTATGTTACCATATAGCATCAAACAATTTTGAACAATTTACAACACATAAGTAAGTGCTTAAAGAACTTTTAAAGTCAGGCCACTTTGATGACTAACTAGCTACCCTTAAAATTAAGCACTAAATTGTGAAGTTCTCATTATGATAATGTAATTTAGAATTAATTAACTTAAGAATTTAATCACTTTGGTGAGTAAAATTCACTTTGATATAATTCTAAAATTATCTATACATTTTATGAATCATTTTCCTTATTCTGTCGTAAAATTACTATGCATACCCGTGCTTTTACTTAATGCATAGCCGTGCTTCGATGAAGCAAGGCCATGCTCATTTCTGATGCATGCCCTTGCTTCCTGAAGCATGATCGTGCTTCTTGATGCATGACCATGCTTATAATTGATGCATGACCATGCTTATAATTGATACATGGCCGTGCTTACAATATGCAAGGTTGTGCTTCCATTATACAAGGTCGTGCTTCGTTGAAGCATGACCGTGCGTGTTCCTGATGCGTGGTCCTGCTCCTTGATGCATGGCCCTGCTTAATTATAGATTCAAAATCCAATTTTTCTAGCTTCCAAAACCTTAGGTTTTCACTTATTGAATCCAAAACAATTATTCAACATCAAAATAATGTCAATCCATCATATAAAATACCTAGGGTTCATATAATTTGGGAAAAACTTTAATGGAGAACTAATCTTTTATGGAGAATCAACGAAATTCACAACCTAACTCTGATACCAACTGTTAGAATTTTCTTTAATCTATTATGTAATTTCCATTATGATATAACTATTATGAAATTACCTTTTCCCATTAGATCTTGAATTACGTTGTTCTCACAACACAATACATAGTTCTTATACAATTAAGAGTTTAGAGAGCACTAACCTGAATACATTGTTCCTTGATGTTACCTCTCTCTTTGATGTCGTTGATCCCTTTGTATTTTCTCCAACTCTTCCTTCTTCTTTTAGCTCCTCTCGGATGGTTGAGAGAAAGTTCATTTCTTGCGTTTACCGTGAGCACACTCAGAGACCGTGAAAGAACAAATAGAGACTGTTGTAACCCCTATTTACTAACCGCTCTTTAATTTATATAAAGGGAAAGGGGAGAGTTTCCTTATAATTGTATTTACAATTATACTCTCAATGACTCTATATTTTATATTTAACCACCATTACATTAAACCCTTAATTAAAGTCATTTTATAAGTTACATAAGCCACTGTAATATGATTATTAAAATAATCTAACATTAGACACGCAGAGCAGGAGACTCAAATCCAACACTAAGATGCCAACAAAACTCAACGAAAGCGACTTCAAGCAAGGAAATTTCAAATATATGAAAAAGAAAATGTGCCAAAAATAATATCAAAAATCTGAAGAGGAAGATGATGATTAGTAACTTGCAGTGTATATGGTACAAAATAATACATTTTTTTAATGAAGTTAAGATATTTACTGAAAAAGATCTATTTAAAACTCTTTTTTAAAATTAAAAAAGTAAAATGAAACAATCCTAAAATTAACGAACTAAAAAATTAATTTTATTTATTTAGCTACATTACAAAATTTTCACCACTTTTTAAATTTTTTTGAATAAAATAAAAGATATATTTATTTAATATAAAACTAAAAAAAGATTACATCTATTAAGTATAGTAAGTAATACAGAGATTTTAACGTTCAAACTCAAACAAACTTAAATGTGTATGTACTTGTCTTAACATTATTAATATAAATAAAATTGAAATATATTGATGAGATACAATAAAATCAAAATATTATTAAATTTTTGTATAAGTTAAATAATAATAATAATATTATTTTTATTTAAACCACTTGTATTTTTTTTATTAAAGATAGTTCTATTTGAATTGTATAAAAAAGTTATAGACAAAAAAATTCTAAATAATAGTACTTTGAGGAAATTTTAATAATATTCATTATTCCTGTTTTAAATAAATATATAATTAAGTATTATTTTATAGTTGCTAAAAATGAATGCATATTTTATTTATTAATTATAAGAAAATCAAACAAGTAAAAACTTAAAATAATATAAAAACTGAAAGAATAAAATAAAATAATAAAAATTAAAATTAAAATATAAAAATGCAATAATTTAGATTAAAGAACTTTTACATTATATATATAAAATAAAAAATTATATTTGATTAAAGAACTTTTACATTATATATAAAATAAAAAATATATTTGTTTTTATTTTTAAAAACAGTTTTCTAAATATAGATTTTATTAATTTAACTATTAAATTATATACTGTTATTTACATGATAATATATATTAAAATTTAGATAAATTAAATATTTATAAATATATTATATGTTAAAATAAATTTATTTAATAAAATATTAAATATTTTTCAAATAGTATAGATTTTATCTATTTATTAAAAGCTCATAAAATAATTAAATTAATAAAATTTGATGTTTATAAAACTATTATTATTAAACAGATTAAGTTTAACAAAACTTAAACGAATCCCATTCCCAAAATAATAAATAATAGTAAGATTTGCAAGAATAATTTTTAAGAGTTTGTTTATTTTTTATTTTTAAAAATAATTTTTTAAGATATAATTTTAAAAAATTAAAAACAAAATATAAACATACAAGCCCGACTCTCTCCTCCACTTTTTGTTATTTTCTCAAACCACCCTTCCCGCTTTCCCTGGTAATTAAGACATCAACCTCACTTCACTGAAAGTGAACATTCTCTGCTCTAAAATCCTTAAACCCTAAACCCCCAAAATGCGAGTCTTGGCTTTTCGAAGCTCCAATCTAATAAAGCACAATCTCGAGAATTTCCCATTGATTCACCTTCACCTCAACTTCAATCTCAATTCTACACGACCAATGTCGCAATCCACCGCAATCCCCAAAAAGCAACAAAGAGTTCGCGACCATGGCTACGACAACTACATGGAGGTTGAGAAGAAAACCCGCAAGGTACTCAAATTCCAGAACCTAATCCTCTCCGAGCCCAACCAATCACTTCCAATCTCGCGCCTCGAAACCCTAGCGCGCCGCATCGGCTTCACGCGCCACGAAGCCGGCGCGTTCATTCTCAAGTTCCCGCATGTGTTCGAAATCTTTGAGCACCCGGTTCAACGCATCCTCTTCTGCCGTTTAACGCGCAAGGCCATCCTCCAGATCGAACAGGAACGCCACGCGCTCGCATCGCTGGTTCCACTCGCTGTCACGCGGCTCCGGAAGCTTCTCATGATGTCGAACGACCTCCGACTACGCCTTGAGCACGTGAGGATCGCACGCGCCGCGTTGGGGTTACCGGATGATTTCGAATTCTCGGTGGTTCTGAGGTACCCTCAATTTTTTCGCTTGATTGATGCAAATGAAACTAGGAATAAGTACATTGAGCTTGTGGAGAGGGACCCTAGGTTAACAATTTGTGCAATTGAGGAGGTTAGGGAGAGGGTGTATAGAGAGAAAGGTGGTGATGCTGAAGATGTTAGGTTTTCTTTTGTGATTGATTTTCCGCCTGGTTTCAAGATTGGTAAGTATTTTAGAATTGCAATGTGGAAGTGGCAGAGGGTCCCATATTGGTCCCCTTATGAGAATGTTTCTGGGTATGATTTGAGGTCCATTGAGGCCCAGAAGAGAATGGATAAGAGGGCTGTTGCCACCATTCATGAATTGTTGTCCTTGACTGTGGAGAAGAAGATTACTCTGGAGAGGATTGCTCATTTCCGAATGGCGATGAACCTACCCAAGAAGTTGAAGGATTTCCTGCTTCAGCATCAAGGAATTTTTTATGTTTCCACTAGGGGGAATCAGGGTAAACTTCACACTGTTTTCCTTAGGGAGGCATATAGGAAGGGCGAGCTGATTGAGCCTAATGACTTGTATTTGGCACGTAGGAAGCTGGCTGAGCTGGTCTTGTTGAGTCCCCGGAAAGCCAAGGTTGATAGGGAATTGGTTGGTTACAGAAGAAGCAGGTTAGATGATGAAATGGGGCAAGTAACAAGAGCATATGTGGAGGATGCTTGTGAAGACTTCAAGGTTGAAGATGGTGGGGTGCTAGATAAGGATGCAGTGGATGATTTGACATCAGATATAGGTTCTGATGTTGATTCTGGAGATGAGGATGATGATGATGTTGAGGATAGTAGTGTATCATTGCAAAGGACATCTTAGCTGAGTATTAGGGGAATCTTATTCGAGCTATATTTATTCAATTTTGCTATTGAGAAGTCACTTGATGCAGTTGACTTCTGAAATTTTGAAGCAGTAGATCTGAAGAAGTTGTGATTCTTGTTTCTACTGCATCTTAACCAAGATTTTTTTTTTGTGATTAACTGCTCTGATTTAAGGGATATGGTCAGACCTACTGGGTTCCTAATGAAAATTGTTGAGTCGGAGCACTACTGGCACTATGTGACTTTGATATTCCTGGGAGATTTTATTGAGGATGATATCTGATGCTAACTCAGATCATTAACCTAAACTTGATATGTTGAGTTGTTTCATTTACAGAGAGAAATTAATGCCTTGAGGTGGAGGAAGGTATCCATCCACTCAGTCATGAGTCATCACTCCTTTGTCACCATCATTTTATGTGTACATACACAACCATTTTTATCGAAGAAAACACTGCGAAAACAAAGGAATAACAGCTTCAACTTTGAAGCATCATGTTGGAAAATCAAGTGCCTCGCTTGGATGTTCATCAAGACATGTAAGGCAACTCATCTGCATTTTCCTCGAGAGCTGTCACTTACATTAAATTACTATACTTCTTGAATTGTGATACTAGCTTACATCTTTAGGACAGGTGTTTGGATAGTTGTGATGTGCTTAACAAATGGTCGATACTATAAATTTTTTTTCAGAATTCTCATGGCTAATTTAGCCTCTATAACAAATTCCACTTGTTTACTGGCATGCAAACTAGGGGTGTGCAAAAGATCAGTATAAAGTGAACAAATTCATGAAGCAAATCATGCAATACTATAATTACCTAAATTCTTTAAACATGTTTAATAACCTAAACCACTTTTTAAAAACAAAATCTTTAACCCAAACTATTTATAGATACCAGTTTGATTAGCTGGTTTGTAACGCAAAACTAGTTACACTTATATTACATAAAACCATTTGAATTATTGTTGCAGTTGGATTTGAAATTGAATCCTAGTCTTCTAATCTCCTAACATGATCCCTAAACCCATATCTTCATTCCATGCTGATCACAGTTAGTAAGAGCACAACCCCCAATGTGTAAAACATATATCTTTTAGCATACAGGATATCATTGAGGAAGGAGAATAGGAGAAAGGAAAGGAGATCTATGAAGTTGTCCTCTTTCCACTTTGGATCCTCTCCAGCAGGGTTTTGGTGCAACCAATATCCTGCAAAAATTCCAACCATTGATATGATTATGCACAAAAATTGAAACGAGAATATGATATACGGTTTAGATTTCTGCTGCAAAGGCTGGAGAGGAACCAGTCTCCTCTTTTCCAATTCCTCCTCAGCCAGAAGTTATTCTCTTGCAGCATCCAGAATATCATTATGTTTATCTGATATTGAAATTAGTGAATGTCTTGAAAGAAACAGAGGATGTTGGCAAGACAAAAATGCTAACCTAACTGCTTGCTATGTATAAACAAAGAATTTCTATAACCACGTTTTACCCTGATTGAATCACTAAAATGGTCCGTGTCTGTATGACTGGCTGCAAAATAAACTTTTATCCTTCTTTGGGACACTTTTAGGGGAAGTTTGTGAGTGCCCTGTAGGGAAGGCATTCAGTATAGGGGTGATGGCAGAGAATTGAGCAATATTGGCTTTTTGGTGGTGTTTCAGCATATCTTTTGCTGTGTTCCAAGGTTTACTCAAAGTGGTGGTTGGAATTGATACCGACTTTGTTGTTACCTCCAAGACATCAAATGAAGATGGAGACTCTGCTGAAGTTACATGTTTAAACACTTCTCATTTCCCCACAACTCTTCTCATATTAAACTTGGTTAGAAGAGTGTGCTGGACCAAAACAAGAGTATATTATGTTTTGGATTGTAATTATATTTATTGTGGCTTTAATATATGTATGTTTATCTAAATTGTGTGCAGCGTAGAACAAACTGTTTGACGTTATAATACTAACATGCCATCCAGTTTGATTATATTTCTCTGCCAGCCTCAAATTCCGGTCTAGAGCTTGCTATTGGATGAAATGGGATGAGTGGTTCAGGCAATTTTGGATGTCCTTGCTAATGGGACTTCATGTAGGAGATGGAATGTCTGATACGAGTGTTAGATCACCAATGGGAATGATTGGAAATGAAGTCCAGCTTGAGAGATCTATGCTTCCAGATCTTTCATTAACTGCTATGGATGAATTAATCAAGTTGGCTCAGCCAGATACCGTGAGGAGTATGCAAGAACATTTTCTCCTTATCATGGTCCAAAATCATGAAGAGTTAGCTGGATAAAAAACAAGACTATATTGTGTTTTGGATTGTAATTATGTGGCTTTAATATAAGTCTATGTTTCTTTAAATTGTGTGCAGCTTATAGCAGATACTGAAGAAATCAAATTAGAACAACTGTTTGACTTTATAATGTTAACATGCCATCAAGTTTCTTCAATTATATTTCCCTGAGCGTGTCTATTTCTTAGAAGCTATACTGTGTAGCTTATAAAATACTCACATCTGGTGTATGAAACTGCGAAACCAAACACGTGGTCAGACTCATGGGTTTGAGATCTAGGTTGCTGTTGGTTTGACAATGCATAGAACACAGAACAGTCATATGCGCTGTTGAAGCATTTATTTTCACATTATGGAACTACTTTAATCTAGCTGTAACAACAAAAATAAAATTTTATTTTATTAGGTGAGATTTGCAACATGGATTATATGACTCTATTGAGCTTGGTTAAAAATTAAATTTTTAACAATATGGTTAATTAAAATAGCTCTTTTAATAATTTTGTTAAGATTTTTTTAAGTCTTTTTTGACTTCTTTTTTCGTAATTAAGGGTCATGCAATTCATTATTTTTATTGATGTCTCTAAATGACTTCTTTGTAAATGATTGAATCACTTTATATAATTTTTAGATGTCTTAATAGGTATAAGTATTATTTTATTATTCTTTTATATACTATCATTTTGTATATTATCTTTTTTTGTGTTTATTCATCTACTTTAACTTCTCATTTTTATCATTCTTTTCTTTTTTGTGTTATTTTTTTAAGGTCTAACTTTTACTACCATATAAAATAATTGGTTGTATTACAATATGATAAAATTTTTCTTTTAGCTTTATAGTTACAAATCTATACAGTTGTAGATTCTCGATGTAGTAACTAAATAAATTCATATATAAAAGTTAGAAAGATGTAGACATTATGCAAACAAAGCAATGGTGAAAACATCACAACCCATTTAAAAAAGCTTATGTACAATACTATATCTTCCTTTTCTCTTAGGTAAGAATATATCATCAGAAGCACCTTCCCTAGTTAGTTAGTTTGATGTTATATAGTGAGATGTCTATTGAGAACCGGTTTATATATAATTTTAGTTATACAGTTTATTATATAGTTTCGGTTTTTCCAAACCAGTTTCGTGCTTTGGTGTTGTATAGTGAGACCTTGTCTATTGAGAATATGACATAAGAGATGTCATACTCTTTTGATACAGTAACACATATCGATAGCTATGGTTGTGGATGAAAGAAAATTACAATCGAAACTAGTAAAAAAAATAATATCTATGATAAATAAATTTTTAAAACTAGTAATTATAGTAGAGACATATAGAAGGACTAAGTTGTTTGCTTGTGTAGTCAATTTAAATTTGGATATACAAAAAGAACATAACAATGCTAATAAATTAAATAACCATTCTATTTTTCTTGGCAAAATCACTTTTAAATTATAAAAGATGTTTGGATAAATTTTTTAAGAATCAAAATCAAATAAATTTTTAAGTATCATGCTATTACCTTTTTTTATGAGTTTTGTTAACTTCAATCATAACTCTTTATGCTTTTTTTACTTTATCTATCTAACTTGTATTTTGTAAGTATCATTTTAATTAATTTTTTTTTATCATTTTGTATAGTTGATCTGAAGTACATGAAACTGAAAAATTTTGTTATAATATCATCTCAAATTTTAATTTTCAACATATATCTTTATCTTTTTTTTTTAAACCTACAATGCACATATTTTGACTTATTTTTATTTAAGTGAAAACTCTTAGATTCTAAGGTTTTCCTCTAAATTCAAGTTTAGCATTAATATCTTGTGTCAAATTCTTAACCAACCCTATATATTTTGCATATCATTTATAAGTACATCTAAGACTAGTTTAAATAAATAAGAGTTCAAAGCGAAACATTGATGTAAATCTATTGTAATTGAGAAGTCCTTAGATATGTTTCTACAAGTTTTTACACATGTAGTTATCCTTCATACATGTCTTGCATAATTCAAATATATGCAACACGTACTATTTTTTTCTCTCTTAAATCTTCTATAACACTTTTCTTAGTATATGATCATATATTTTTTTCTAAGTCAATAAAAATTATTTAAATTCTTTTTTTTATATAACAATATGTTTTTCAGCTACAATTGATCTTAAATTAATTTAGTTGGAGCTGATTTAAACCTGTATAAAACATGTTTAGCTTATTTAAATCAGTTCAAAATAAGTTTTTATCAATTGAAACAGCCTTGTAATGAGTTTAAAACCAATTTCAGTTGAGTTTAGAGTCGGTTCTAACTGATTGACATGAATTTGTTTGACAAAATATATTATTAATAGAGTATGAAAATGTGTCACATTAAAATGGTGATGTCAATAAAAAATTATTTTTTTAGTTTTTTTATTTGTTTTTTGTGCTTCTATTTATTTTTTTAATTTGTCCTATGACAATTTGAAGAAACACTGACCTAATATAATTAATTGTTCTCTTGTGGGAAAGTGTTTTTTATTTCGTATAAATTGCTTAAAACTTTAAAATAAGAATTTTAACTACTTACCAGTCACTCAAGTATATTTTAAAAAATGAAAAAAAATTCAATTCAATCCTTTTTCTTTCTTTTTGATATGATAACTTACAAATTATACTGTCCTACTTATTAAAAATAACTATTAATTACTTTTTACCTATTTATAACTGATAAAAGCATTAATTGTTAAGTTTTCTATATATTCATTATGAGATTTATGTTAATGAGATACTTGATAGAATTATTTAATATATATATATATATATATATAAGACATTAATTTAAATATTTAATATTATGAATATTTTTAAACTAAAATATAAATTTATAATATATAATTTTTTTATTGGTTTTAATAAATTAAATATAAATAGGACCGGAGAGGCGATACTTGACAAGTAGTCTGCTCTTTGAGGATACAAAAACACATTTTAAATCCCAATTGCAGCAGTGCACATCATATTTCGCTGAAATATGAAACCATTAGCTGGAAAGGGATGAGCTTGACAATCCAGCAGCTTAATGAACGGTTTTTTTTTCCAACAAGTTCTTACTCGTAAAATTTACTAAAATAAAGTAAAAATTATTCTAATAAATTATATCAAGTTTATTAAAATAAATTTTTAAGAAATTTAAAAAGTAAGTTATTTTTTACAAGTTCTTTCAAGCACCTTATTATATGAAAATTTCAGATAAATTTGATTATAAAGTTTATTAATATAATTTAAAAAGAGTTGATTTTGATGAGTTATACCAAAAAAGTTATGTGGATTAAAAACTATTTTTATACTTTTTTTTTTGTTTGTAATTTCTTCTAAATGCTTCCTTAGTATTAATTGTTGTACTTGAATACCTTATTTAGTATGAAGTGTGAGCTTGAGCTTGTGGGATTTTGGTGATCTGCTGAAGCAAATTAATGACACCCTTTACTTTAAGCTGAACATGTTCATGTGACGTTTTGGGTTGAAAATTTTCCAAAAGCTGGCCATGGTTGATTCTTTTTGTTTTCCTGTTTCTGGTTGCCTAATGACAAGCTGTTGATTAGACTATACTGAATTTTAATCTTCGTGGTTTATTAGGAAATTCTTAATAAATTTCAACTCAGAAAATTTAGTACACAAAGCATTACACGCCATTCATGAATTTGCATGTTGTTTGTATACAATCAGCGGTGATAGTCCCATGAAATTTTTAATTTCTGATAAGAAAATAATACCCTATGATACAATGCTTGTCCTTTTTTCCTTCTTATTTTTCTTTGAAATGACTCAATGCTTATCATAAGCTATAATTAATTATTGCTTATTATGGTTGAAACTTAGCAACCAAGTCATATATGCGATTTTTCCACTATTGTTTTTTTAAAATACAACAATAATTTAATCACCATAAAAGCATTTTCCATTTATTAATGATTTATTTAATTAATCTATATTTTTCAACAAAAATTAAATTATTGCTATCAATTTATGAATATTTGTACACTGCATTATTAATTTATTTGTATAAACCTTTAAATTCTTTATAACTATAAGTAATTTTTTTTTGTTAGAAAAAAAAATTATTAATGAAAGTTATCTTAATATTTGTCAAATTTTTTTTTTGCTGAGTTTATTTTAATGATTATACAAGAGCATATTCATTATGCATTAATTCCCTAACGCCTAAGAATCATTAATAGCTTTTAGCAAATTGTTATAAAGATAGTACCAATTCAATTTTCTTGTAGTTGTAGAAATTCTCTTCTCTCATTTTCTCTAGTTGATCCAACAATATTACACGTTTTTCTCACCTAAAGAGGAAAATTTAAGTATTGATTTTTTTTTAATCAAAATGCAATTTGCCCACTTGCTATATATATCCGATGGTAAGTAAAAAAAAATGCAAGAGTGGAAGTATTTGTATAAAAGCATTTTAACACAAGTTGGTGCGTCTTTAACAAAATAATTTATATAACTAAATATTATCACAAGTAAACACAATAGTCATATGATTTTAAAATTTAAATACAATTTTTTTTTTATAAGAATAAAAGAATGTTAGAATAAGTTACATATTTATACATAAAATTATAAATTAATATTCATAGATTTGATATTTAAAATAACTAGTGAAAAACACAGATAAAATAAATAGTATTCCCTTCATTTAAAATTGATTGAAATTTAAAATTTTTATATGAGAATTAAAGAAAATAATAAATATTTTAATTAGTATAGTAAGTTTACTAAATTATTCTTATTATTTTTTTTCTCTTTATATACTTAAAAATTGACTTATACAATACTAAAAAACTATTACAATATTATTTATTTCAGGTGTTAATAAAAAATTGATATTTTATTACAATTTTAAAACGTCTCTTAATATGAAAACTTACTTCTCTCTCTCTCTTTTTTTTTTTTTGCTATTACAATATTTTTTTTATATAAAAACTTACTTCTATTAAAAAGACCCCTAATTTAAAATAGACGGAATATAAATTATAACCACAACGTATTTAATTATTAGGATATATTGGATCTAGATTATTTTTTTTTATTTATAAAAAGCATAGTTACCCACTACAACAATCACACATAATCTCAAATAATTCCCAATAATTAAGCCATGTGGAG